GACCCTGCTGGAATTTCACGTACAAAACCCAGTAGAGTTCAGGACAGGATTATGCCTGGTTTATATATGAGTTTTCTACAAGATGGTAATTCACTGAGGAGTGCAATTTTTTTTTTTAGTTGAATCAGTACAATCCCTAACCTTGGCAATAGCTGTATTGATAAAACATGTACTGATGATACACATTTGATATACATGTACTGTATAAGCCCAGTTCATTCCTATAAGCTCTACCAGCAGAAGAGATCTTGGCTGCATGCTAACTGCACCCATAACTCAGGTGATGTATTGACTGGATGGATGGTACCATTTGCCAATATGCAGAATTAAATTAAGATTGGAGTGAAGTTGTAGGCATGATGGTTCAGGAAACAGCAAGAGCCAAGGCTTTTAATGTGATATCTTGCGATGCTGGACTATCTGTATAGCTGGGAGAGCTGTTGGACAAGTTTGTGGACTGAAAAAGAGCACCTCATGCCTGAACCTTGCCAAATAGCTCTCCATACTATATAACTGGTCCATAAAAGATATCATCAGAAAGCCTTGTCTTTCTCTAGTTCAAGTGGCATTTACCCAACTGTGCGCACCAACCCTAGGGACTGCCATGTCCAGCAGCAAAGCACCTTCATCCTTCTGCCACTTTGAAGGTACCATATAGACAAACTGTCTCAGAGATGGCAAAGGTGCCCCTCTCCCCTGCCTTCTCCCTGACTACAGACTGACACAGCTAACTGCTCCATCTGCCAGTTTCTTAAACTTTTTCTCTGCTGCCATTCTGGCAACAAGGGGCAGCACAGGGACACAGCAGTGGAGGAGTGGGCCAGCTGCTTCATTCAGACCCCTTGCATGATTCACAACATAAACCCAGAGATTTCAAATAGGAATCCAGTGACTTTTGTCCAAAGGCTGCACAGGAAGCTGGTGGAAGATTTAGGAACAGAACCCAGGAGTCTTCATAGAATCCTAGAAGTCGGGTCGGAAGGGACCTTGTAGATCTTCTAGTCCGACCCCCTGCCTGGGCAGGAAGAAAACTGGGTTCAAATGACCCCAGCCAGGTAGACATCAAGCCACTTCTTAAAGACCCCCAGGGTAGGAGCCAGCACCACGACCCTTGGAAGTCGGTTCCCAATCCTAGCCACCCTGACTGTGAAGTAGTTCCTACGGATGTCTAATCTGAATCTACTCTCCAACAACTTGTGGCCGTTATTCCTTGTTATCCCGGGGGGCGCTAGGGGAAACAAGGTCTCCCCCAAACCCTTCTGGTCCCCCCTAGTGAGTTTATAGACGGTCACAAGGTCCCCGCTCAGCCTTCTCTTGTGAAGGCTGAACATGTTCAGGTCCCGTAACCTCTCATTGTAGGGTCTGCCCTGCTGTCCCCGGATCGTGCAGGTGGCCCTCCTCTGGACCCTCTCAATGTTGTCCACATCCCTCTTGAAGTGGGGTGCCCAGAACTGGACACAGTACTCCAGCTGCGGCCTGACTAGTGTCGCGTAGAGGGGGAGGATCACCTCCTTGGACCTGCTTGAGATGCACCTGCGGATGCATGATAGGGTTCGGTTAGCCCTGCCGACCGTGACCTCACGTTGTCGGCCCATGTTCATCTTGGGATCAATAATGACTTCAAGAGCCCTTTCTGCCTCCATGCTCTCAAGAAGGGAGTTTCCCATCTTACAAGTGTGCTGCTGGTTACTACTGCCCAAGTGCAGCACCCTGCACTTGTCCGTATTGAAATGCATCCTGGCTTTGTTAGTCCACCCCTGTAACCTATCCAGGTCTTTCTGTAATTTTCCCTCCCTACTAGCATGCCTACCTCACCCCATATTTTGGTATCATCAGCAAATTTGAACAGGTTGCTTTTCACCCCTTCGTCCAAATCGCTGATAAAGAAATTGAACAGCGCGGGCCCAAGGACCGAGCCCTGGGGGACTCCTCTGCCCACTTCCCCCAGGTCGAAAATGACCCGTCCACCACCACCCTCTGAGTACGACCCTTCAGCCAATTCACAATCCATCAGACCATGTAGGCATCGATGCCACAGTCACCTAGTTTTTTAATGAGGATGGGATGGGAGAGTGTCAAAGGCCTTGCTGAAGTCCAGAAAGACTACATCCACGGCGACAACTGCATCCAATGCTTTTGTGACCTGATCATAAAAGGCAATCAGGTTGGTCTGACATGACCTGCCCTTAATGAAACCGTGCTGATTGCCCTTGAGCATCATCCCCAATGGTGGCCCGTCACAGATGTGCTCCTTGATGATCTTCTCAAAGAGTTTCCCCAGGAAACTCTTTGCTGCATCATCTTGCCTTAAACCACTAAGGGTCTAAGGTGGCAGGATCTCTGGGTATCCATTGCATACACAGGGAAGGCCAAGGGCTCACACACCCATTCTTAGTTTAACGTTCAGGCTAGTGACATTCTTTAAATCAGACCCTGTGGGACCTTACCATGAAGAGACAGCTTCTGCAGTGTTAGGAGGACGATCTCACCATTTTCCAGTATCTCCTTGTGCATCTCAACAATCATCTTTGCCTCCCTATTCCCACCTACCTACTTCATCATCCCAGCCAAGGAGGTGCAGGTGCTCTCTCCTCTCTTCCCAAACTTCTCCTGAGTTAGAAAACGTCCTCCTCTCTGAAGAAAATTTGGCTTCTGAAATGCTGGCTTCTGCAGACAGCCCTGCAGAAAGAAACAGCTGCCACCATTGCTAGACAGGCAGAGAAGTGGGAGCCGGCAGGAGCAGGGGCAGGATGGTTGGGGCTGTCTCCAGGATCCCATTGTTGCTAAAGGACGTCATAAAGGGAGTCCTATCCCTCTCACTGGTGCTGCCCCAGCCTGGAGCAGGCAGTTGTTACAACGGCAGCATCAAGCAAGCTCTCTCCTTAGGGATGGATTTAAATATATCGTTCAGCATCTTGAAAACAAGGGTAAATTTGTATTTCCTTTCTCACTATGATCAGGTGAGTGCCCATAGCCTCCAGTTAATGCAATTTTAAGAACTGGCAGAGACATAATCTGTTTCTCACTTCTTGTGCTTCTTCATGTTCTCCAACCATGGATAGTAAAAACAGGCCCCATTTTCTCCTGAGAGCGGTGATGCGGCTGCCCAGCCGTGCACTCCTGGGTTCAGGTTTTACAGCATGCAATGGGGATTCCTCCCAGTTGAAAAAGTCCCTTTGTACAGATCCCCGTAACTGAAGTCTAGTTCAGGCAAGGCCATGATACTCCCCAAGCTCTTCAGCCAAAAATGAAAAGCACTTAATAAAGCAATGATTGCCTTGGGTTCCTCTTAGGAACACCCGAGCTATTGAAAAAAAGTCTTGGCCTGGACTTTCAGGAGTAACTAGTGATTTTAGGCCTCCACTTCTTCATGCCAACCTGGGGTACTGAGGAAGAGCCTAGTTTGCCAGGAAATACAGAGCCTCTGTCTTCTTACTCAAGCTCCACCAAGTCATTTGGAAATTGGGACATCGAAAGGCAACCCAAGTCACTCAACATCTGTGAAAGCTCAGATTTAAAGTTGTACATAGCCACCCAGCAAATCAGCAGCGGCACCAGGAGTGTCCCCTTCATAAAAGCCTCCAAAGGACGAAAGTATAGAAGAAATCAGGGGAAATATTTTCCGTCTTAACTTTCCCACTTGGAGCATTTGGAACCTGTTAGCAGGGGACCCCTTCCCCCTATTACTTGGAGCAATTGGGGCTTGCAAGGAGACTGGCTGCAAAGAGCTGTGCTACCTGCACCTGCTGCCAGTAGAACAGGGGGTGGCTGAGTAGGGGGTTAGCAGCACCTGGGCCCTATTAACAGCAAGGCAAGCCCCGTGACCAGAGGTGGGGAGAAGCAAGGACCAGATAAGCCTGAGCCTGGAGCTCAAAGCTCAGACCCTGACAGCAGAAGGAGCTGTAGAGTAGAGGTGTGGCATATGAATCATAGAAAAGAAGGGTGGGAAGGGACCTCCGGAGGTCACATCTAGTCCAACTCCCTGATCAAAGCAGGACCAGCCCCAAAGACATCATCCCAGCCAAGGCTTTGTCTGTCCGTGTCTTAAAAACTTTCAAGGATGGAGAAGTGGTGCGTTTTATTTCTGTTGCTTTTGGGGTTTATATTACACCAGAGGATCAGATTGTGGTGGTTGGGAAGAACTGGAGGCCACATGGCAAGGTGCCTAGAAGACTCTGGGTGTCAAGCCCTGCAAAGGGCAGCTTTTAATACCCAAAAATCATCAGGCAAGTCAGTAGCATGATGTTCTTTGCTGAGACTGTGAAACATTGAAATACAGATGGTGCCATCTAGTGGGTTTTCCAGTTTGCTGTCATGCTCTGCTAATTAAGCTCTTTTCCTGAACTCCTTGGGCCGGGCACAGATGCACGGGACAACGGCACCGTTCCCCAAACTCCCTGACTGGGAACCAGCCTATAACTGCTGAGGGTCAGAGGTGTGCACAGCGCTGAATGCTTCGGGGAGAACCGTCACCTCTCAGACGCTGAAGTGCCGTGGCCTTGGTGGCATCGGTGGCATCGGGGGGTGGGGAAGTGAGCATCCAGCCCAGCAGCCCTGGCAGTAAGTGAGGCCCTGGAGCAGGTGGCCAACTTGCAGCAGAGGTGCCACGAGTGGCACCGCCAGCCTCTGCGTACCACGCACAGCAGATTTTGGAGGGGCAGGCAGCTCAGGGGCAGAAAGGGCAGGGAGCAGAAAGCAGAGCAGCAGATAGTATGGAGGCTGTTTTCCTGCCCCAGAGGCCTGGAGGGTTGCCATGTGACTCCCACATTTCAGAGAGGCTCTAGAGGGGACACAGGGAACTACAGACCACTGATCCAAACCTCTGTTCCTGGGAATCTGATAGAAAATATAATAATAAAGAATTGTTCAGCAAACTACTGGGAAGCCCCAATCCCATTGCTGTTAAGGCTCCAGGCCATGAGGACACCCTTTTTCTCAGGGTGTGGACAGACACCACAATTAGAAGGCACAAAGGCAAATGAAGCATTTTTATTCACTTTTATATTCAAGCCTTCTCCATACAAGTGGAAGGGTCAGGGAAGGGGAACGGAAGAGGCTGCTCCTTTAGCGGGCTCCGCTCGGGAAGGTGAGGGACAATAAGAGGTGCTATGTGGAGGGGCAAAGCAATGCAGAAGCTTCTGGCTAATATGGGCAGGTATTTGACATGGGACACGGGAAGGATGCTAGCAGAAGGTGCTGGAGCACCAAATAAATGAAGTTGTGCAGGTCCCAGGCCATCTGGACCAGAGGCTTTGGTCTAAAGCTTTGCAACCCTCAGATCAGGCCAGCTACCCAATTGCTACAAAGAAAAGGCACGGTGAAGAAGACATGGGAAATCAGCAGTCAAAGATGCAGGAAAGAATGCATCCTAAGGACAAGAGAGTTTCTCCACAGATGGAGTCATGTCCAGGAGATACAGAAACCTTGGGGCGCTGGCTGCCCTGGGTGCAACAGGTTTGGAAGGAACCATCAAAACTTTTGACAACTCCTTTTTTAAAGACTTCCCAGAGTAGGAACATGGGGACCTCAAGGGACCTGATTATAAATCATGGGAGGGGACAGCATTGATTTGGCTCATGGTTTTCTTGTCATTCACACGGAAATAAAGGAACAACTATACTTGACAAGCAGGTTTAAGCTCATGGGAAAAGGCAAGAGATTTGGTGTGGCCTGTTATAAGCAATTGTTGTACATCAAAGTGAAAAAAACTAGAGTGGTTCGGGAGCATGGCCCCGAGAATGGAAGAATCTGAAGACTGGAGGTTATACAGGGTATAAGGAAACAATTACGGTGAGACGCAAGCAGGAGAAGGATGGGGATATACGTGGGTGCGAGTGTGCAGAACTTCAGCATTAAGTGACACTTCACTGAGTGAGAGACTGCAATCGCTGCGGTCAGATGCCAGTGCTGGACCCTGCTGCATAGCTTTGATTGCAATGTTATGCTCCAAGAATTTTTTTCATACAGATAAAGGCTAGCAATGGCCATCTGGCACAGCACCTGCATGAATGCAGGAGTCTGATTTTCATGCCCTTTTTCTCCAATGCTTATCCAGCCGCGTCTTGAAAACCTCCAGTACCGGTGATACTACCACTGCCCTGCACAGTCTGTCCTACTGGCCTCATTGCTCTGCATCACAGAAAAGGAAGGAAGGATCAGTCTGCCCCTATTCAGAGGACAGAAAAGCTCTTCCTAGCGACCCCCCAGGAAGCAGCCATATTCGGTCTCCCTCTCCCGAGAGGACCCCCCTGCAGCCAGCCCCAGCACAGCTTCACAAGGGGCAGCCTCTGGATTGAGACCCCGGCTCTTCTCAATCCTTGGCTTCCCCAGTGATCCATAGCACCGCCACCTCTCCGAAAGCACACCAGACTGCTTCAAAACGAAGTCTTTAGTGTGCCACTCCAGGTCTCTCTGTCCTCACTCAGACCTTACTCTGTCCTTGCTGGGACCTTTCCTTTTCTCTGTCCATCCTGGGACCTTCTCCCTGTCTGCCCTGGGTCCTTGCCTCTTGGTCTGCCCTGAGACCTTCTCTCCTCAGGTGCAGATTGGGCTGGGGAAGGACTGGGCCACGCTTTGAGCCAAAGGGCTGTGTGGGGCAAATGTATCAGGACAGAAGCCTTTGCAGGATGGATGGGCAAGGGGATGAGATGCATACATGAGGCTGAAAAGGATCTTGAGAGGGGGAAAGGGGACTTCTTGTGGACATGGGGCACTGCCAGCTTCCAGCAGGGACCTCATGAGGATGACTGTGCCCAGCTGAGGAAGATGCTCTAAGTGATCTCCAGCAGGCTGTAGGATTCTTCTGGCCCCAAGATGCAGGGGAAAGGCACGACAAGAGAATGGAGATCAAGAGACCACCCACGGCCTGATGTGATGAGCAATGTCATGGGACACTGGACCAGTGAGGGGTATTCCCTGAAAGAGGTTCATGGCAGACCAAGGCTCCAGGTGAGCACCTGGCTGCTGGTCATCAGTGATCAAGGTTTCTGCCTCTGATGGGAAGAGAGACAGAGTGAAAAGTGGAGGTTAAAAAGTCTTGTGGAAGTGCCAGGCATGGATTAGTACCTGGCAAGAGGATTGGTGTGTAACTGGGACACAGGTACCTCCACAGGTAGGAGACTGGACAGCAGAAGGGAGTGTTGTATTGATGAGAGCAGGCAAGTCCACCGGTGAGAGGCTGCCCTGAGCCCAGCGAGAGAACTGGGGCAGATCAGAGCCACACCAAGGGTGCTTGGGCACCAATGCAGAAGCCTGGGCTAAGCAATGAAGGCACTGGGACTACTGGGGAAATTGGGGGTTAGTGATGGGAAGCAGGGGGTAGGAAGTCATGCCCTGCTCCCCATGGGGAGCTAGATGGGAGGTCACTGATGGGACCTCGGGGCTGGGACTCTGGTGGGCCAGGGTGCTGGGCCCTGGCTGGGTCAGATGGAGATGCTGTTCTCCATCTCCTGGGGGTTCATGTAGTTGTACGGCAGCTCGACCATCTGGTTCCTCAACTCGATGTCATCTGCAATCTCCCTCAGGTCCCGCTGGAAGGCCCTGATGAGCCGCTTCGGCTCCTGCTCTGTGAAGTGCTCCTCACGGTAGTCGCCCAGGAGCCTCTGGAGAGAGTGGGAGAGAGGGCCAGTGTCCAGGCTCAGGGCCCCTCTGATGGGCACCAGGCTGCTACCCATTCTTAGCAGGCCCTGAGCCCCACCCCACAGCCCCGTTATGTCTTGGTGCTAGCACCCCTCCAGCACCAGCCATGCCCAGCTCCAGTCACCAGACCTGCCTCCTCCTCCCACAGGCTGAGCCTGGGTGGAGGTCACTGAGGTGCCGCCTGCTGCCCTGTGCAGCACCCCCAGCTCTGCCCGGTGTCTGTCCTGCTGCACCCCACACACTCACCATGTCCTTAACGCGGCTGCTCAGCAGCAGCAAGGCTGACTGGATGGTGGCCGAGGTGTCCACCTCGGGGATGCAGTCCAGGAAGTGCTGCTGCGAGGTCCTACCTTTGTCCTCAGGCGGAGGGTGCCGCATGCTTGAGGGGTAGTTGGGAACCCAGGCACCGATGTCATACTGCAGGCCATGACACCAGAGATCAGAGCCATCTGGAGACTGGGGTGCTGCTCTGAGGGGACTCTCCCATGGACACCCATCCCCTGGGTCAGCACCCTAGAGGCAAGTTCCCCAGCTTCCCCTAAAAAATGCTGGGGCCGGGTCTGTGGCTCCAGCAGAGAGGAGGTGGCAGGGGCCCTCAGGACAGGGCTCCATGTGTCCTGAAAGTAATTGTGTGGCAGAAGGCATCATTGTGCCTGCACTCTAGGCTCACTAGCTGCTGCTGGGACCCTGTCAGCTGGTGCCTCTGCCTGCACTGGGATGAGGCCATGGCAGTGCAGGTTCCTCTGGCTGCTTCAAAGGAGCATGCCCCTGCAGTGTCAAGGCCATGGTCCCAGCAGGAGACCATGCCCCACATCCAGTCCAGGGCATGTTCTTCAACAGAGGGGGAGAATTCACGGTGGAGAGTAGCCCTCTCCAGGGACCATGATTGAGGGGCATCCCAGGAGATGTGGAGAGTCCAGGCAGGCCAGGGTGTGGAAGCAAAAGCTGCAGCCTGGTGCCAGGGTGGGAGAAGGGCAGGAAACAGCAATGCCCATCCTGAAGAGAGCAGGGGTGCAGGGGACCAGACTCCCCCTTCCCCACTAGGACCAGAACCCTCTCCCCCCACAGGGGGAGAAGAGGTGCAAGGGGGTTAAGGGGTGCAGAGGTTCTTCCCAGCATGGGACAGGGGTAGAGGTGCTCCCAGCCCTGAGCTGACAAGGAGCTTGGGGCTACAGTTGTCTCCTTTCCAGGCCAGGGGAAGGACAGGGTGTGCCGGAAGAGGCGTCCCTCCCTGGAACAGGAGAAGCGGGGGTGTCAGGGCTCCCCACTGCACCTGGGACACAGGGTCTCCCTACCTGCCCGTTGTTGACAGATGCGTGCTGGGCTGAGCAGGTGAAGATCACCATGGTGAGGAAGCGACACAGCTCTGCGACGGTCCTCAGGGAGGAGGGGATGCCTGTGGTGGGGGGCAACAGGGAACATGCAGGCCCAGACAGTGCTGAGGGCACCCATCTCATGTGTGCAGCCCCACATTGGCTTTCCTGAGCCAGCCCCTGGGCAGGAGGGGCAGGACAGGGCCAGCTCCACAGGGGCTGCACGCACAGGTGAGCGAGGCCTGACCCATGCTGGGAAGGATGCGTGAAGACCCTGCATGGAGGAGCCTCTATCATCTGCAAAGGGCTGCTTGGGGCAGACAGTGCTGGCCCCCGTCCTTAGCATGGGCCCGGGTACTCAATGACCAATCCAGAAGAGGCACTGCTACCCCAAGTGAACTGCCTGCCATGGCTCAGGGGGCCACAGGGTGGGCTCGGGGAGAGGACAGTACCAGAAGACGCTCTGGACAGGAACCCATTAACGAAAATCTCGTTCATCCAGGCCTGCAGCTCAGGGTCGCCCTGCACCACGTCATCGCTCGGGTAGTAGAATGCCACAATGCCAGAGACAAAGCTGGATGGGACACAGGGGAGATGGGAGATGGAGATGGGCTCCCATGAGGCCACGCACTACCCAGCAAAGGCCCCATCTCTGAGCACTTCCCACTGCCCAGACCAGCCCTGCAGGGAGCCAGCGGGTGACAGGGCTGGGGCACTTCTACTCCTCCCTGCCCTGGCCAGCATGGTACTTGGCAAGCAGCTTCAGACAGGAGTGTCCAGCAGGGCCAGGGCCCCTGCTCAGCAATGCAGGGCTGCTGCATCTCCTCTGCCTCATGCATCTGCCTCTGGGCACCCCCAGCCCCCTGGGACAGACCCGGGTCCCCTTTCCGAGGCAGTGCCTACATTAGTTTATGGTACCAGGTGCTCTGATCCCTGCCCCTTATTCTTGCCTCTCTGCTGGAGTCCAAGTTGGTATTCAAGCCAGCCCCTAAACAGCAGCATCCCCTGGCACAACTTACCCAGGCACCCTGCTATAGGGACTTCATCCCAAGCATTCTCCACAGACTCCTGTGCCTCTCATGCCCTCCCCGTGACCATCCCCATCCCATGCCCCTCCCCATGACCTTCCCCTTGTCTGGGGCTTCACCTTTTTATAGCTTCCCAGATCTTCAGCCCATCGTCTCTGTAGAGGTAGTTGGGGATGGAGGAGACCCCTCGGGCCTGGATATTATCAGGAAGGCAGAGAGAGTCGTAGGTCACCTGCTCCAAGGTCTTGCTCAGCAGCAGCACTATCCCTTCGTGAGAGCTTGCTGAGCCCTGAAAAACAGAGGCTGCCCATGGGAACAGAAGGGCAGATTGTGCTGGGGCCCTTCCAAGCGCCTTGGAGGTGCCTGGTCTCTGGGGCACTGCGGAGCTCTGTCCCACCTCTGCACATGGGCAGAACTGGGCCCAAGCTGTCTGAGCTACATAAACTGGCCACCACAGAGCAGGCTGTGTGCAGGTGACCCAGGGGCACCAGCATGGCCCAGACTGAGAAACTGCCCATGGGCCACCACCACAATTCGGAGATGTAAGAGTCCTCTGTGTCTGAGATGTGCTGGCTACACGTTCAAGAGAACAGCCACTGGCTTCCTCATAGCGCCCTTCACAAGGGCTAGGCCCACTGGTCTCCTGGGGCCTTAGGGACTGTTCTCTGGCTATGCCGTCAGAGAAGCCTAGTTCTGACACAGGCACAGAGATGCCTGGACCCTTCCCGGCAGGTAATGGTTGCCCTGAAAAGCCTTACCAAGACAGAGACTGCAGCCTCCTGCATAGCCCAGTTCCATGTGCAACTTCCTGCATAGTTAGAAATTTTTGTTATCGCCTGCCTGAAGTCACCTTTGCTGCCATTCTGGAGCCATTTCCCCCAGTGCCCGGTGAACAGAAAGAACAGTGTAACAGGGCACCCAATTTTTTGTTTTTTAAATACCCTGTTCTAAAGGCAGTCAGGCCTGCTCTTGACTGCCATGCCTTGATGTTAGTAGAGATCTATATTGTGGAAGGCTGCCCTGATCTTACAATAATGACCACATGACTTGTGATCATAGCCTTATGGGCCAATCACATCGCTCCGTTCCTCACCTACACCATGTCCCATGCCTTGCAGATGGCATCCTTACAGATGTTCTACCAAGTGCTGATACAGCCCTTCACAGGACCTTCCCACCTCTCCGCCTTTCTTTGGGCTGTCAGCTCCTGTCTTGGTCTCTTGTCTTACACCCTGTTTATTCTTAACTTTCCCAACTGCTCTCCAGGCCTTTGGACCCAGCTGACACTATGCTGCTCAGGACCCTTGCTGAGCCATGCTGTCCTCTTAGGTACCTCAGTGTGCCTCACTATGTGGTTCAGGCCCCTCAGATCCATACAGCCCACTGGACCTCTGGACCCATGCACTCCCAGTCTTGCCTGGCCCCTCACTGGGCTTCTGGACCCACATGGTCCTTGTCCTCCCTGGCCCATCACTGGGCTTCTCAAACCCCTGTGGTCCGCATGGTTGTCTTTGCCTAGTGCTTGTCTGTCAGAGTGTGCTCCCCTAGCCTTCCCCCTCTGCAGAGTAGCCCACAAGGCGGCAGCAGCTGAGGTTTTCCGGTTCCCCAACATTACCTTAGGCAGTCAGGTGATTACCTTGATCAGGCCTAGCCTCACCTGCTGGCCTCTGGGTCAGCTGACTCTCTGACTGGGCCTGACCCCACCTGCCGGTGGCTTCACGGGTTATCTGACCTCTTCAAGTGGCAGGCACATCGAGTACACTGCCACAAACAGTTATAACTTTCCTCTTTTCAAGAACTGGTCCTGCTCTTTCCTAGCAGGCAGGTCCCAGAGGGTGGCTGTGGGCAAGCTGTTGTCATCCTCTTGGGATCTTCCCTGTAGTCAGCCCAGAGCTTCATCCTATTGCCCCTCCTACTCCACATTCACATGAAGTCACAGGGCAAAACTGCACAAAGACTCTGGGTGAGGTGCCATCAGCATGCAGCTGACAGGCCATCAGCATCGCTTTCTCATTCGACCTGGGCCTCACAGTCTGTCTTCCCCCATTGCCTGGCTGCAGCTGAGGATGGGATGTGGGCAAAACTGGATGAGATAGAAGTGATAGTGCTTTGCAGTCCTGAGGGCACTGGGATACCTAGCACTGATGGGATTTGGCCTCCCTGTGTTAGACAGCTTTGCAGCCGGGGGGTGCTCCCAGACCCTCTGCTGTACCTGGCTCTCCAGGTGGCTGCAACCCTTCCTTCAGACTGGGAACTGTCCACCTTCATTGGTGCTAGACTCCTGAAGTATACTCTGTGTGGGGCTGCCTTTGGAGATGCTCTGGAGGGGGTACAGCTCATGCAAAACACAGCGACCTGCCTTCTGCCGGGGGTGTTACCATGAGCACAGAACTCCAGTGCTCCAGAAGCTGCGTTGGTTCCCAGTAGTGTTTGAGGTCCTCTTTTGCCCTATAAGGCCCTAAATGGCCCTAAATACCTAAGGGACCACCTGTTCCCATACACCCCATTGTGATGCCTGAGGTCAGCCAAGAGCAGCCTCTCACCATTACCATCAATGCACTGAATCTACTTGGAAGAAAGCACACGGGAGACTGTCTTTGGTGGTTACCCATGATAGTGGCCCCTCAGCTCTGGAAATCCCTGACCCTTGAGGCCCCTAGAGCCTGAGCCTGGACATCTTCTGAGAGACAAGGTCTTCTTTCTATTCAGGCAAGGATTTAGCTGGGATGGTGTAGGGTGGCAGGGAGGGTTGCACATAATTCATTTTCATACACTATTGGCTTTCATAAGGTGTTTTGTTCTGTGGTGTTTTCTTGTTTGCTGGTTTTATAAGCTATTTTGCTGCCCTGAGTTGCTGCTGGGAAGGGTGGCATATGAATAAATACATAAATGCATAAATTTAATAAGTTTCCCACATTCACTGCCTCACTCCTGAGTTTCCTCAAGACTAAACAGCCCCATTCCCTCTCCCCTCTGCATCTGTCCTGTGATTCTGCCTTCTCCCTGGTTCCCTCCACCTCCCCCATCTGCACCATGACAGCGGGCAGGGATGGGAAACACACAAACTGCACCTGGGGCCTCCCCCGACACCTGCTTCATGCAAGGAACAGCCCCTAGAGCGCACGGCTGGCCACTGCTGGCCAAGAGGCTGTGCTGAACAGAGGCCCGGCACCCTCACCTTGGTGATGACGCCTTCTGGGTTTATGAGAATGCTTCTGGCCAGGGTGTTGATGTGCAGCGTGAAACGGTAGTGAGGGTGCAGGAGCTGAAAAAGTACAGGCAGGGTCAGGGAGAACATGCTGTCCACGAGCTCAAAGCTCCTACTACAAGCTCAAGCTTCCACTCCCATCTGCCCAAGCAACAGAGAGTAACACGGCCCGTGGTTGTACCCGTGGTTGTACCAGCAAGGCAGCAGTTGCCAGCCCCTCTCTGCAGGACACAGCTTCAGAGCTCACAGCTCATTGCATTGAGAGCCTGGCATGTGACACCCACTGTCCCCAGCACAGGTGCCCCCCAGAGCCTGCAGGAGCTTGGAGGGGACCAGCCCAGGAGGGCTGAGGTGGTGACACAGCCCAGGGAGCTGGTGCAGAGGAGGCAGAGAAGAACCTCTTTAGGGATGGTTGTGGGGGCTGCTATAGTGGAGCAGGGAAGGTCTCTAGATGAAAATTGTGGGGAATCACTTTGCTGTGGCTTCTGCCACAAAGCCAGAGAGCGACTTCACAAGTGCCGTGATTCCCTGAGCAACCTGGCACAGTTTGCTTCCTGGCATGATTGGGGGGGGCGGGTAAACCCCACACAGACCCACGACAGGCTAATGGTAGGCAGAGGGCTCAACTACCTGCCTCCTTGCACCTGAAAGCATCAGGCTCCATGTGGAGGGTCTGGACAGCTGCCACAAAGCAGGAGTGCAGGGCCGACAGGGGCACCCTTTTGCCCCTACAGAAAAGGAGGGACAGAGAGAGGGTAGGAAATACCGGACCCTGGGAGATGGGCCGTGAGTGGGTATAATGTGCTTCAGAAACATGCCCAGGGTGCCGGAGACCCCACCCTTCCGGCCAGGTGTCCTGCAGAAGAGCAGTGGGAGCCTAAGGTGGGGATAGGGGTCAGGCCATGTTTTGTTTGGTGACTGAGCTCTGTGACATGAGGGCAGGGACACACGCATGAGCTGCCAGCCCCCTTTCAGCTCTGGGACTCCTGAAGGCTTGGCTGAAGGGTCAAGCATGCAGTGGCAGAGCCTGAGATCAACGTCCCATGTCACAAGGGGATGCACAGAGGTGACGCGGCCCTGCCAGTGACTGAGGTGCCTTGGAGCCCCAGCGAAGTGCTCCTGGGAAAGCTTCCTGCCCCAGCCCCTCTCCCCGCTCACCTTGAACAAGGGGTGGCACATGGGCAGCTGCCGAATGGTGGCAATGGAAAACACCTCGGCAAAGAGATGGGTCTTGAGCAGGTGGGTGATGATCTGGTGGATGTAGAACTCGCTGTTCCGGACCCAGGTCTTGGCCAGGATCCAGTCCCACTCGGAGTCACTGGGCAGGAAGATGGGACTCTTGGGGCCCGGAGTCTGGCTCAGCTGTAAAAGGGGAGATGTCCTGCCACTGACATGCATAGGAGGACACCCTGCCCTGGACATCCCAGGTCTTTCCCCTTCTGTGTTGAGGTCTGCCTGTGCCACTGCTGCTAGCCTGGGAGAAGGGCCTGGCTGGGCATGGCGGGAGTGCACTGCCCACACCAGGCTGCAGGCTGCTTTTATTGACAGAGTCCAGGTCTGCCCTTCCCTTGGGCTCTGTCCCAGCTCAGGGCTGTGAGATGGAGGCTAGCCTTCAGGGCTGCAGCGTTCATGGGGGCTGCTGGCCTTGGGTCACAGCTCTGGTCTGCTCCTCTCCACTGGCTCAGTCCCATGCCCCAGGTGCTACATGCTGCTTGGCTGCTGAGGACCAGGTTGCAGGCTCTGTCCCTGTGGGTGATCTCACAGGCTGGGGTTCTCCGGCATGGAGAGATTTTCATCTCTTCCCTGCATCTGACAGCTGCTGCTGAGAGCAGTAGGGCCCCTTCGCCTGCCTGTCCCCTCTTGAGAAATACTGAAGCTGCTGAAGTCCTCTTGACAGAGACAACTACCCTGCTGGGGTCGGTTCAGAGCTGAGACCTGGAACCCAGATTTCTCCTTCCCAGCACAGGACCTCACCCTCCAAGCAGCCAGCTCCTGTACTGAGCACTATGGAGTGATGTCCCAGGAGAGGGGCCTTCAAGGCTCTGGCCCCCCAGGCAAATCAGCAGAGACAAGACACCCGGATGCAGCCCAGCAGCAACCTGAGCACAGCAGAAGGCAAGCAGAGTGGGCCTAAGCCCCAGCCGGGTCTGCCTTTACCTGGATGGCGATGGGCTGCAGCTCCCCAGCCTGGTTCTGGTGCACCAGGCACAGCGGGGCAGCAATGTATTGCTGCCGCCCATGGATGGTGTGGGTAGGAATGTCTTCTAGGTCCTTGTAGTTCACCAGGAAGATGTGTCCTTCCTGTGTAGAGGAGAGCATAGTTGTGAGCCAGAGAAGTCCTGGCTGCTCTTGGAGAAGGCACCAGGAGGCTGCAGTGGGCTCTAACCTTCTCCTGGGAGCACCATGAGCATCAGTGGAGTGAGGCAGGAGAGCCTTGCAACCCCTTCACACCAACTCCAAGGGCAGCAGGCCTGCTGCCGTTCAGTTATGGGCAGACTGAGAAAGCCACGCTGGGTGCTGAGCCTGTATCCTGGGGCAGGTGGTGCCATAGGCCCTGCCCCAAGGATCATAGGGCTGGGAGCCAGGAGCCCAGGGTTGGCAGGACCTTGGAGCTGGTGGCTCTGCTGGGATCAGGCCATACCTGTAGTTCCCTCTTCAGGCTGGTGCCAGCCCCTAGGGCTCCAGCTACCATCTCCTCTGTCACAGGGAAGTAGGCTGGCAACTGTGTGCATTTCTGGATCATCACCGGGTTGACTCCATTCAGAAACTGGTACCCAAAGAAAGTGTCCTCTTTCCAGTGGGCGGCCACGTACTCTGGGACTGGGACAGGAACACCAGGCATTAGCACACACCCCTGGGCCCTCCCCACAGGGCTTCCTTCTCACATTAAGGTCCCAGTGGCCAAGATCCTGTGCTGGGGGGAATTTAAGTCATGTGGCTGTGGGTAATTTAATCCCTGTGGCTGTGATATCTTGTTTGGACCTGAGAGCACTGGGCCCAGGCCCTAGTCAAGGCAATGGTGCTGCCTTTTTCTATGTCCCTTTTTGGGCTCTTTCTGTACAATACCAGGATGTTTTTAAGATTTGGATGTTTTTGTGGAGCGTTCTGGCTAACAGCAAGGGTGCTGCACTGATGCATGTGACCACAATGGTTTCTATCAGGGTCACTTACTTCTAGTGGAAGAGCAGAGCAAGGTAAATGGGTATAAGACACCTGTACTGGCCACATCAGGGCAGTACAATCGAGCAGCAAAGAGATCATTTCTTAACTAACGCAGCTGAGCTGGTGAAGTTCTCCAGCGAGGACCAGCCTTGGCCCCGGGGCAGTTCTGGAGTAACCCCTCTGCTTCCACATGGCTGTCACCAAGCTTAAAATGTGGCCACATCCTAATAAGCTGACCCACCCCCTGGGCCCTTAAGGCTTGACCTGAACTGTGTGGTTGGCAGCTTTAAAAAATGAAAAGCTTACAAACAACTCAAATATTAGGACATAAATAGCATTAGGAACTAAGGAACATGGGGCTGGAAGGGCCTCCTGGGCCAGTGAGTCTAGCCCCCTGCATTCACAGGCAGCCGTCAAGCTAAGGGGTCCCCAGACAGCCACTTCGCCCCTCACCCTCAGTGACCAGAAGCAACATCCAAAATGACAGCAGCTCCCTGCAGCTCAGCACAGGTAACGGCCGGGGAGACAAGGGAGCTGCCACTGCAACAGCAGGGAAGCAGCTGGATCATCCATGCCCTGAAGGCTGTCTAGCCTGGACCCCCCTGGTTTTACAGTACCCTGTTTTGAGTTTTGCCTCCGACCAGCCATAAAAGGCCCCTGGCTGTGAGACCACATCAGTCCCAGAACATGCCCTCTAATGCTTGGCTTAACTGCCCTCTGCCTGCTGACCTGAGGTGGAAAGAGTCTTGGCTTCCCAGGCTGCAACGAAGGTTAGAAAATAATAACTAAACATCAAGTCTTCGACCTGGCTGGAGCCAAATGCTGCTCGCCCTGTCACCAGCACTGTAGACCTGATTAATCCAGAGGCACTGTGCTTTGGCCTGAGAGGATTCACTACACCACGCAGCAACCAGATGAGTCAGGCAGACCGAGCCTCTGCCAAAACGCAGCGTGGGCTCTCTCTGGAGATACAGGGGCCAGAATCAAATGGGTGCAGTTGACACCTGAATGGACACAGGCAGAATTTGCCACCCCGGTCACACAGTGATGCCAAATGGCCCTGGATCCACAGCCACGTATTCCACCCAGCACCTCAATGCACAGCTCCCTAGGCCCAGCACCGGCATCTCCAGGCACACGCGCCAGGTGTACGCCCAGAGCACTCGGGCACCTGATGCCCGTGTGAGCTCCATGGAGGTTCAGATCAGAGCCGGGAGGTGCCAGAATGCTTGCTAAGTCCTGGAGGCTCCAGCCCCAGGGGAATGCAGCCAGCAAGCCCAGCTAGTGTCAACAGTGCTAGCTCTCACTCCAGGATGGGGGCCATGCCCAGCTTCTCCCTGATAGCCTTGGGGTTAGAGCCCTCCCCTGGAGACAGAGAGAGCTGGGTCCCAGGCTTTCCTTACCCTGAGGGGGTTCAAACCTACCTCCCAGGAGAGTCCCCAGACCACCAGCCTGTAGAGAAAGCAGATGGGGTGCACTGCCCACCCCTCCTGATACAGCTGGGCCACCAGTAGCAAAGAGCAAGCAAGTCATTAGGCCAGTAGGAAAGGAAATCACCAGGAGCCTGATGGGGTAGCCTATTGGTTATGGCAACCCCTTGGATGGGAGGGAGCCCTGGGCTCTGGTCCTGTCCCCAGGGCTCTTTGTGCATTTTACATTAGATAGTGATTCAAAACCTACTCAGACCAGCGCTCAGGAATTAGATACACAGGCAACTTCAGTTCACACTCAAAGAAGCCATAGCTCTCTGATCATTTATAAGCCTGCTGCCCTGCTGACAGAAAACTACCAACATGTCTTAGCCGATGTTCCCAACACAGAGGAATGTGGGACACAAACCACGCCATGCATGCACAGGAGGACGGGTCTGGGCCTGTCTCTATGACAATGCTACTGATGGCTAGAAAATGGTATTTAGAGGTTTGCTGTTGGGAATTGACTGATAGGCCAAGTAGATATGCATTAAGATAATGGTCCAGGCCAACAGCAAGGATTAATTGATTTCTAAAGAGTCTGTGACAAAGTTTCTTCAAGGCCTGCTGTGTCTGAGACAGGTTTGTGATAGGGTGCAGAGGTAGGAGCTTTGCTGTCAGAGAGAGAGACAGAGTTTTGCTGGGTTGGGAAGCAAGGCCAGTGTAGATTGTGAAGCCTGCATCCCAGAAAAGATATGGTTAAAGCAGTGCCAGAGTTATAAGGTCTGTCAAGGAAAAGAGAGGCTGGAAGTTAAGGCAGACCCATAGCATGAACGCTAAGACCCAGAAGAAAGAGTGTGGAGACTTCAGAGAACTGAAAGAGAGAGAAAGACGGTTGGAGAGAACAGACCCACAGCGTCCAGAGAAGGACTGAGAGTGGGGACCAAAGAGCAGAGCCCAGCAAAAGCTTGTGAAAGCATGGGAAGCCAGGGACTCGCAGTCTGAAAAGTGGGTAAGGCAGAGTCAGTGACCCGTGGTCCAGGAGGGGCTAGGAGTGGGACCAGATGGGTCCAGAGGCTCAAAGTAGAGGCGAAAGAGAGAAAGATCTGATGAGAGGTATGCAGCCCAGGAGAGGCAAGTATTAGCATGGCCAGGTGCCAAGGTCTCACTGGCTCAGGAGCAGAGTCAGGATGCAATGAGGGGTCAAAGTCCAGGGGACACAGCTGGAGACCAAAGGGACCCACAAGCCCATAACCCAAAGGGGTCTGGAAGAGCCCTGAAAGACCAAGTGGTCAGGCAATCCAGAGGCAGAGCCAACAGAGGTCAAAAGGCTGAAAGAGACCACTGCTAAGGCTGCTAGAGCTGGAAGCCTGAAATCTCAGCTAGCCTGAGAAGAGGCCAGGAAGCCCAGAAGTGAGAGATTGTGCCCATGATGGGTGAAGATGATCAGGGCAGAAGACCCTGGAGATTGGTCCTGGGTAAGACCTGAAAACTACACCCTCCTGGGACTGTTTAATGTAGTAGAGCTACTTGTGGTGGGATAGTCTCTACAAAATGCCACATGTTGCCACCCCAAGGAAAGGCGAGTATGGGGTGCTGAAAACCCTAGCTCGCACTGCCTTGTGGGTCACCCTTTGATGGGAGAAGGCTAGGGGGAGCATACTCCAACAGAAAAACCCTTGGTGGAGGCCAAGGACAGAAGGTGTGTGGCAGAGTGCTTGGAGTACCAGAAGAAAGGACGGCTGAAAAAGCAGCCTCTGCAAGGAACAAGGAGGGGAATCTCTGAATGAGCTCCAGCATGGCGAGGGCAGGGCAAAGGCAGCCACAGTGCCAACAGTGATTCTGTGGTGTGAATTAACCTAAAGGGGGCTCAGCCTCTCCCTTTGTGTCTTTGTGTTTTGCAGGATATGGACCACCACTGCAGCATCAAGAAGTTTGTTTGATACAGAAAAGATTCAGGTTTAACTGTGTTATGAATTGGCTGTGTCTGTGCAATGCTATTGCTGCTGAGTGGTTAATGATATTAACTATGCTGGACAATGAAATATAAAGCAGAACTTCTTAATAGGCTATGGGATAGCTGCAAAGTGGCTACAGAAAATGTTGCATCATGTGGAGCATCGCCTTTGCTTGTGCTAGATACGTCTTTTTATGCTCTTTATAGTAGAAATAGTAATGTAATGTAGCTTTATTAATTGCCAGAATTCATGCCATGATCTGGAACAAGAAGTAGAATTGTGGGATCCTGGTGGAAACCAGGCATGATGTTTGCACAGAAAGGCCTATCTGTGACAAAGCTTCTTCAAGGCCTGCTGTGTCTGATACAGACAAGCAATGAGCAGACACAGGGGCTGGGAAATTAAAGACAAATACCACACTGTTCCATAACATAAAATAAGGTGGCACCAGGTCACAGTGCCCAACTGCAAGGCCCTTGGGCTTTCTGGTTTTGGGGGATCAGACCAAATTAGAAGAAGAGCAGGAAAGCCCAAATTAGGATGTGTGAATGTGATGGGTTTCTGAAACAAAGGAATATGCTGGCAGGACAAAACGTGGACAGTATGATGACAACAGAGAGACCAATCAGTGCTGGCCAGAGATGAAGAGTCATCATCACAGGAGGAGAAAAGAATACAAAAAGAGGAATTTTATAGCAGCAAAGGGTCCCCAAGAGGGGAACCGGAGGCTACCATCGACAGAGGGCATACCTGTCTCATCCACCCTACTGTAGGGGGGAGGGATATGGGGCGGGGGGGTTGACATCTGATATTCAAGAGAGAACCTCAGAGGGAAGCTCACGTACTGGCCGGACATACCTTGACTCTGTGCAGCTCTAGGACTAGTAGATATAGAATTGTTTGCAGTATTCTTATGTGCTATCACTGTGTATCAATACATCTTGCCTATTATCAAATGGAAAGGTCGTGGTCAGTCTGAGAGTTTTGGGTCCACCCAGAACAAGGTATCTGAGTCATATATCCAGTGCCAACAGCCATCCCCTCACTAATATCAATGGTAAAGAAAGATCTGACAAAGAACATCCTGCATTCAAAAGCCTGTCAACTTCCATCCAGGAGGAGCACACACCAACTGCTGCAGCTTCCTAAGCCTGACGAAGGGTTTTTGAACCCGAAAGCTTGCTTAATAACTATTCTCCAACCATTTGGGTTGGTCTAATAAAAGATATCAAATTCACCCAAGGAACCTTGTCTGCCTATGTCAACTTCTATCGCATCTATGCAGTTGGTTCAATAAAAGATATCACCCTAAGCAATCCTTTCCTCAAAGGTAAAGAAATAAAGAGTTGTGAGGCCTACCCAAGGGTCATGGCAATAGACTTAGTTCTTCATCCTTCCACCTATCCAGACCTTGGCCATGCTGGATACACAGGATGTGTTTACACATGCAATTAATATACATGAATAAACCCCAGAACATATTGCTCCAGAATTTTTGCTCCCATGAGCATCCTTTGAACATGTGCCGAGGAGTAAAAAACTCTGGAGCACACAGTGCTGGATTAAGTTTTACTGGGACCCTGGGAAAACAGAAAACTGGAGTCCCCACACCAAGCAAGGGCAGGTTTTCTCTGTGCCCACCAGTGGGCTGCAGCTCGGCCTGCCCATCTTCCTTGGCACAGCCAGGGTGAGCCAACAGGTGCAAGTGCCGCTGAGGTAAAGCCAGCCCCAGCTCCAACCCGGACCGGCCCCTTCACTCAGTGGGTGTCACGCAGGTGGGGCTGTGGTCCACCAGCATTGAGGTACAGGCCAGGGCTGGGGCCTGGGCCAGGGCTGGGGCCAGCTTGGGGTCGGGGGGTGGCGATCATGGGCTCCATGCCACCCCCATCTGCTCACCCACCCCTCTGCCAGCCCCGGTGGTCCCATCCTGTCCTGTCCCAGCAGCACTGGAGCCGGTGGCTGCCCACAGATGGCAGAGAGAGGGGAAGGAGCAGAGCTGCCCATGGGGTCTCCTGGCAAAAAACAGCCCCAGAAGCCACCGCCACCCACACAGAGCCCCACACCTGCCCCTAGCCTCTGGTTTTGACCCAGCCAGAGGAGAAGAAGCACACACTGCCTGCCCCAGATGCCCATGGCCAGGATGCCTGCCTGAGCTGTGCTGGCCCTGGTGCCCCAGGGGGCTCCTGAATGCCACTAGGTCTGGGCCCTGCAGACCTCTGCATTAATTTACCCCTGGAAGTATATTGCTCCAGAGTTTATTCATGCCCAGCACGTGCAGCCCGGACGGAGCAGCCCCCGCTGGCAGAGGACCCGGGGGCAAGCCTGCCTGCCCAGAGACGCTCCAGCCAGAGACTGAAGCACCCTTGTACCCCAGCCAGCCCCGTCACCATCAACATGAGCACTGTCGTGCACAAAACAACGCTGCTGCAAGGTAGTACTTGTGTTTAGCCAGACTACACTTCAGCGGAGTTTATTAGCCTACTGCAACCTAATAGGGTCACACGTGTAGATTATGACATTTTACTGGGAGTGAATTAGGCAGCTCCACAGAAAATGTCTTATGTAGATGCTTCCACAGAGCATAAAGTAACCTACAGTCTAGCTCAGGCCTCATAAAGACAGCTTGTGTCCTAAGTCAAGTGTGACATCGCAAAGCTCTTATTCTAAAGCCCCCTCCTGCCTCTAACACAAGGGTACAGCCCCCAGCCCACTCCTGCCGTTTCCCTGGGACATAGCTTGCTCTACTTTAGGCGGTCAGTAATACCCTGAAATGCTTCTCCTGCCTTTTTCTAAAGAGGAGCAGGAACACACCAGCAGGGCAGGCAGAAGAGAAGTGCTTGCACTCTTGATATGAGTCAAGTTGAAGTCGCCCTTCTCCTGCTGAGACAGTCTCCATCCCCCAGGAGCTTTGTTAGGATGCTGTTGCTTGATTAAGATTTTAGGAAGGTGGCCAGGAGGGTGGCCGTTCTGGCAACGTCCACCAGGGCAGTCCCAGCCCCACCTCAAACCTGACTGGCCTTCCTTCCTTTCAGGCTCCTGCCACACATTGCACATATTACACAACTAACTGCCTAATCATGCAATAAATTTAGGCCGATCACGTGTGCAAAGTAAGACCAGCCCCACGTGCAAAGTAATTATGACGCAATTAACTGGTTAATTGCACAATAAACGTGGACTGGCCACACATGCATAGTAATGATCATGCCATAAAAATGTCCATCCAGCTATAAAAGGGACCAACCAGCTACAAAGTTAGTGCTTGAAAATGTAACAACTGTATAGCTGGTTTCCAGGCCCTCAGAAAGAGCAGTTCAACGCCCTTTTGTTTAGTGTGAGCTGGAACAACGGAAGCCATCTCTCAAAAATTAGGCTGAGGGCAAATGCAGGGGCTAGGAGGTACATGCGACTGTGGCTAAAAACAGACAGCTGCTTTGACACGGCCCTGACTAGGCCTTGGTGTGACTCACACCAAAACAGGTGCGGCCAGTCATTTACACACCAGGCTTAAATGGCAATTAAGTTGAATCAACCATAACGGTTCTAAGGCAGTGTCTACACATGCTGTTAGCACACAGCAATAAACTCCAGCACATATCACATGGGAGTTTAATGCTATGTTTCTGCATGTATTTGGGACCACAACACATTGAGCTGGGTTGGACGTCCGGGGTGGGGGCGGCCGGCCAGCCCAGGGCTGCTCCAATCTGGCTCAATGTGCTGTGGAGGGGCTGGCTGGGGCACAAGGGTGCTGCAGTGTGGGGCTAGCCAGCAGGCAGTCCTCACACTAAAGCACGCTTGTGCCCCAGCCAGCCCTGCCAGCATCTACACAGGAGCTGCTGATGAGTACATTACTTGTATATACAAGTACTGTCCTGTGCCAGAATAAATTAGTTTCCTCCAGCTGAATAGCATCTCCTGTGCAGATGCTGAGACTTTACTGCAGAGCTAATTAGTCAGCCCCACAGTGAACATCTTGTGTAAATGCGCCCAGTGCTAAGTTGAATAATTCAGAGATACTTGAGGAGGGACACTGAGCTCGGCTCTCTGGAAGAGCTCATTTGCTGCAGCACAAAAACCTGTGATGCTAGCCAAAGTGGTTGTCTGTTCTTAGCCTGTGTCCAAGGCAAGTAGGATGCAGGACAGGCTGCATTGTGTGGCCCAAGAGAGCGAGCTTTCTGGGTGAAGTCCAGCTCTAGCTGCACAGGCAGGTCTGGAAATGTGACCAAAGATCATGTCTCCCAGCAGCTTATACTGCTGGGGCCAGAGAAACAGGACATGCCTTAGGAACAAGCAGGTTGTCTGAGCCATATTGAATGCTGATACCAGCTGTTCCTCTTCACCAAAACAGCCAGGGGCAGGGAACAAAGGGGTCTGGGTGAAGGGGAAGATGCTAAGCTGCTCCTGGTGGGCTGCAGTCAGATGTGCAGTAGGCACTGGGCTGTCGCTGGTGGGTCACAGTCAGGTGTGTAGCGGGGATGCTGGGCTCCTGCTGTTGCTGTACAGGTCTTAGCTGGGTGTTGTGGGATGGGAGGCTAGGTTATTATACCCAGTGTGCAGTTAAGGACACTGAATTTTAGGCTGATGGGCTGTGCAAGGACAGACAGCGCTGTGGGGACTGGTGGTTACAGAGGACCAGGTCTGGAGGATGCTTTCTTCTTGCTGTGGGGGAATGTGCAGTGTTGGTAATGGGGCTGTGTGTTGCAGCGGGGGATAACACATACCGATCTCTCGCCCGTTGACCCGGGAGAACATCGTCCGGATTTCTTCCAGGCTTTTCCAGGAGCGTGCCTGGGTCAGAAATCCTTTCAGGGATAACCGTATCTTTCTGTGCAGAGAGAGAAGCAGGGAGAGACCCCAGCAATTCTGGTCATCTGGCCCCCTCTCTTTACACACTCTCCCCATCCCTGACTCCTTCGTTTGCTCTCTTATCCCCCCGGCTTCCCTGCTTCTCCCCCTGGACAGACGCGGAGCTCTGCTTGGACACACTCTAGCCGGCCCCTTGGGCTCCCAGCACTTACTCAAATTTCTGGATCCCTGTAAAGGAGGTGAGTCGGATGCTGGAGAACCTGGCATTGGAGTCCAGCTCTGCAACACTGCCCACGTTCAGACAGCGGGGCCAGCCAGGGGCATATTCCTTCCACCTGCAGAGAGGGGACAGGGGGTGTCAGCATGGCAGCAGCTGTGGCAGGGCTCCAGAGGGAAGAAACAGCCCCTGCCTGGGGGAAGGACCGGTCCAGCCATTGAAGTTGGAGAGGCTGGTGTAAACATCAGGCAGGAGGGAGGTAGGCCGTCATAAATCTCATAGTTTCATAGTTGGTTGGGTCGGAAGGGACCTGAGCAGATCATCAAGTCCGACCCCCTGCCCTGGACAGGAAAGAGCACTGGGGTCAAACAGCCCCAGCCAGGTGATTATCCAGCCTCCTTCTGAAGACCCCCAGGGTAGAAGCGAGCACCACTTCCCTTGGAAGTTGGTTCCAGATCCTAGC